TTAAAAACATCTTCATAATATCTCACTCACTTCCTTGGCCTTCATCTTTTCGTGTTCATTCATTTGAAGCAAACTATTAACATAATTGATAAACCAGGTAAAAAAAAAAAAAAGATTTTTTTTTTTTTTAAAGTATTGTTGATTGATTGTTAATTATTTAAAATTGTATTTTATAATTAAAAGGTAACATTTATTTAATTATTTACGTTATTAATATATATATATATATATATATATATATATATATATATATATATATATATTAAAAAATAAAAATGATTTAAAACAATTATTATTATTTATTTTTTTTACATTGTACATTACCTATTTTGATTTCTTCCCGTTTTTATTACATAATAAAAAAATATATTGTGGAAAATTGTATTATTTATATTTATATATAATTATACATCAGTCAAAAGTTTTTGAACAGTAAGATTTTGTATGTTTTTTAAAGAAGTCTCTTTAAACCAGGTAAAAAAAAAAAAAAACAGATTTTTTTTTTTTTTAAAGTATTGTTGATTGATTGTTAATTATTTAAAATTGTATTTTATAATTAAAAGGTAACATTTATTTAATTATTTACGTTATTAATATATATATATATATATATATATATATATATATATATATATATAAAAAAATAAAAATGATTTAAAACAATTATTATTATTTATTTTTTTTAATTACCTATTAAATGATTTAAAACAATTATTATTATTTATTTTTTTTACATTGTACATTACCTATTTTGATTTCTTCCCGTTTTTATTACATAATAAAAAAATATATTGTGGAAAATTGTATTATTTATATTTATATATAATTATACATCAGTCAAAAGTTTTTGAACAGTAAGATTTTGTATGTTTTTTAAAGAAGTCTCTTCTCACCAAGCCTGCATTTATTTTATCCAAAGTACAGCAAAAACAGTACAATTTTGAAATAGTTTTACTGTTTAAAATAACTCATTTCTATTTGAATATATTTTAAAATGTAATTTATTCCTGTAATTTCAAAGCTGAATTTTTAGCATTGATACTCCAGTCACATGATCCTTCAGAAATCATTCTAATATGCTGATTTACTGCTCAAAAACATTTTATTATTATTATTATTAGGTTGAAAACAGCTGATCTTTTTTTATACTACCAACTTAAAATTCAAAATTAATATATAATCTACATAATTAGTTATAATTATTTGACAGTACATTGTTTTAGTTTAGTTTTTCTGAAGCAAACCTTTAGCTATTAGCTGCATAACTGTGATTACTCCTATTCTGTGCTGTTTTGTTCATTTAAATTACCGTATTGGCCCGAATATAAGACGACCCTGATTATAAGACCACCCCCCTTTTTCCAGATGTACCTTTTGGAAAAAGACTTTTTAAAAACCAAATCTTGTTTTTTCTCAGTAAAACACATTTTGTCTTCAATTATTTTTATATTGCATATTTTTCCTATTTTAATTTTTGTTTTGAAAGTATGGTAAAACTGGTAAAATCACATTAAAAAAATATACACTTTTTGATATACCATTAAAAACAAAAAAAAACAGGTAGCTCATCTGAATTAGGACATTTAGGCTATCCATCTAATAGTAGCCTACCAAAATCTTATTAACAGTAGAAGTTAAATCTTACTGTAGTCTTCAAATCTGGGTACTGTCTTACGTTTTAAAATCACAAAGGGAGTTTGGTCCCATCAGGCTAACGTGACAGTCACGACTCTTTTTACTCGTGATCTTTACAACACGCATTGCATTACGTATTTCATGGCACACTCGTTTTATGCGTATTTGGCGCCACCTATTGTTGTGGGTGTATTATTGACACGTCAAAGTCTAGACCCTGAATATAAGACGACCGAGTTTTTTCAGATGCGTTTCCAAGAAAAAAACATCGTCTTATATTCGGGACAATACGGTAGGTGAAAATTGGTTTTCGAAAGTGCACCCTTATTTATTTTAATAAAATAAGCTGATCAATCCTGCACCAAAATCAATCAAATTATCATTTAAATTGCAAAAAGAACTGATTTAATCAATAAGTAAATAATAATGACTTTACTGCATTTATTGGAGATTAGGCCGCAACAACAGCAGTTTATTTTATAAGCTCAAATCCCATGTTCCTGAGAGTCCACTAGATGGCGCCTCTGGCAGTAATAACCGTCCGTCTCAGCTCACCTCGTCCCGTCAGAGTTTACTGCTGGATAGGGATGTAACGATGCACTCAACTCACGATTCGATTCGATTCACGATTTTGATTTCACGATTCGGTTCGATTCACAATTTTTATTTTATCTTTTATTATTGCTTGGACAAAATGCTGCACATTTCTTTGTGAAATTGAAATATAACATAATAATATAGCACTTGCATATTATTGCCCTTTTGTTGGTTTTTATTGCTTCTATTGTCCTCATTTGTAAGTCGCGTTGGATAAAAGCGTCTGCTAAATGACCAAATTTAAATATAATGTAGATGTAAATAACAAAACGAAATTGAAATTTTAAAACAAGCCCCAAATCAAATAAATAAGTAACACAAATAAAACAAATCACTTCATATAAACAAAATAAGGCTTTGTCTGTGCTCTTTCAATTTAAAATGAGAGGCAACCACTGCATTTTAATCAGGATCCAAACAAAGATGCTGCATACATGCAACATGAGCAGTTTTTAATCTAAATTAGATTGTATAATTTCGAAATTTGAAGCAAAAACAGAATGGTTTGACTTACATACAAAATATCCGCATGAAACCGAAACAGCAGACGAGCTGAACGAGACGCAGATTCGCTCTCTGCCAGCAGGTGGCGCTTAAAGCATTTCCTTGGTTTCCGCTGTAAACAAAGCAGTGCTGCACATATGAACTTTAATATGCGTTATACAGAGGCAAGATGAAAAGAAAAAATACCCTCTAAACTTTTCTATAGACAGTAAGTTCCCCTCAGAGATGCATTCATATAAACTACCCCTAATTGAATCGCGATTTGTTTAGCATCTCAACCGATTTGAATCGTCACATATTTAAATCGATTTTCAACCGGCTCACGGTTAATCGTTACATCCCTACTGCTGGACGATAACCTCTCCTCTTGAAATATGCTCCCACCTGCCATCTGGCAGCACTGACAGCGGGGAGGAATTTATGGGAGTGTTGAGGCGCTGACAGGCCAGGTGAGATAGCAGCACGAGGAGACGGATTGGATGAGAGGGGAGGAGAGGAGAGGGAAACGGGAGGATGCTGCAGATCCACGAACAGCTGGCCTGTCACTTATAAAGCTGTTTATGGTGAGCGGGGAAAACGCCAACAGAGACCAACAGCATATAAACTCATTAATTACACAGACGGAAACCTCACACGAGTCCGTCTCCATACACACTCCTGTGCAATGATGAGCGGCCATAGACTAGTTTTGACTTAACTTCCAGATTCAATTTTCTAGAAAAGAAAGGGTTTCGTTTAAAAAATGCAACTTAAACTCAATATATTTTGTCCTTTTTACTGGAAATGAGGTGAGCATTAATTAATAATTACATGAATCACAATCACAGTTAAACAGCTACAAGCTAATAGTTTGCCTCTGAAAACAACAGACAAAATGAAAAAAACATTTACTATGAAAATGAATATATTGTATAATAAAATATGACATATATTGTAATCCTAATACCATATTATATAATATGGTATTCCAAGCATAAATAAATAACCTGCCTGCATGTGCAATACTGGAAATATGCAAAACTTCAAAAATCTATCCTGATTTATAATTAAATTAGTGCTGTCAAACGATTAATCGCGATTAATCGCATACAAAATACAAGTTTTTGTTTGAATATTATATGTGTTTGTTCTGTGTATATTCAATATGTATATTTAAATACACACACACACACACACATACAGTATATATTTTGAAAATATTTGCATGTGTTTACATGTCTATATTTATATTCATATAATTTATATTATAAATAAATGTATTTAATGTATAAAAATAACAGTTTTCTTAAATATATACATGCATGTGTGTATTTATATATACATAATAAATATACACACAGTACACATGCATATATTGTGTAAACAAGAACTTTTATTTTGGATGCGATTAATCGCGATTAATCGCATACAAAATACAAGTTTTTGTTTGAATATTATATGTGTTTGTTCTGTGTATATTCAATATGTATATTTAAATACACACACACACACACACATACAGTATATATTTTGAAAATATTTGCATGTGTTTACATGTCTATATTTATATTCATATAATTTATATTATAAATAAATGTATTTAATGTATAAAAATAACAGTTTTCTTAAATATATACATGCATGTGTGTATTTATATATACATAATAAATATACACACAGTACACATGCATATATTGTGTAAACAAGAACTTTTATTTTGGATGCGATTAATCGCGATTAATCGTTTGACAGCGCTAAATTAAATCTATCTATCCTCCCTAAAAATACAGCATACTGATCAGAATAAAGAGCAAAGACTGAATCTGATCAACGGCACACCAGACCTAAACACATTTCTGTTCTTACAGGAGGATATAGCAGTCATTCAGCAGACACGATTATCCAAAACAACTTACAGTACAATAATTATATCTAAAATCACCCTGGACTAGCATGATGTATCATGGCTCAAATCTTCAGATATTTAACCAGGAACGAGTGGATTCCCAAAAAAACAAGGAAAAAATCAACTAAAGTGATTTAAATGTTCAGAAATCACAAATAAGATAAATAGAGATGCGTTCATATATGATAATCTTAAAAAAAAAAAACGGCAAGTACAGACACGCGTATAAGCAACTCCTTCTGGAAAAAATCTTGGTCATTAGTCACACCTAAAGAAGCTGATAGAAAGAAAGCTTTATGATTTATGCCACGCTTACGGACATGATGATGAATAATTGCAGCTAGAGGCAGAAGATGCGCAGAAGAATTGAGACGTCTACCTGGTCACACCGGCCCCGTTCCAGCAGGCCGTCCCGTCTCCGGAGGCCAGGTCGCTCACACACAGCTGGTCGGCCAGGCCGCCGTAGAACGCGCGGTGCAGCCGCAGACTGCTGAGGAACTCTCTGCAGACACACAGAGGAGTGTTTCACTGTCTGTCCAGCAGAGGGAGTGCTAACACAGCTGTGTTTCAGCTCTGGAAACACCTGCTGCTTCAACAACTTTTATTAAAAGAACATCTTCCAATTACTGCAGTTGTCAAGGACATAATATTGTAAGAATGAGCAATTCATATCTATATATATATATATATATCATAAACATAACCAAAAATTCACTTCATTGGCTACCCCAACCATTCTTAATTTACAGTATATTTTATATATCTTGTATTAAATGTTAAATATTATTGATTAACATTTTGATATTAACTTGTAAAATGTATTATAAAAAATTTATCATATGTAAAAAGACCAACTTATACTGTTATTTTATTAAAAATATTTTTTTTTCTGTATGAGAAAAAAACAAATATTAATATTGATATATTTTGAATATTAATATTGATATTAATATTATATCAATATTAATATATTGAATATTGATATTAACATTAAGACTGATTTCTAAATAGTATTATACATTATTAATACTACATAATATTATTAATAATAATACAATTTTAATATAGACATAACCAACATTTCTTGTCACTAACGAGATGCTTGTTTGTTTGTTTTTTTAAGTCCCCCAAATATTTTACATATATTTTATATTTTTTGTATTCCTTGTATCACCATGTTAAATGTTAAATATTATTGACTGAAATTGATATTTATATATAAAATATATCATATGTACAAAGTCCAATTTATACTGTATATATGTTATACAAAATAAGCATTTTTTTCTGTATGAGACAAAAACAAATATTAATGTTAACTTTATTCCAATATTCATGTTATTAATATTAAGATATATTTTCTAAATACTATTATACACAACATTTTAATTAACTAAAAATACCATTATACCATAATATATCAAATATTATTAATAATTATTTATGTACAAATACACATTTATGTGTTTATTTTATTAAATATATTTTTCCTTTATATTATTATTAATTATATGTGTAAAAAAGACCAATTTATACTATGTTTATATTATTATAAATGTATGCGAGACCAAAACAAATATTATAATATTAATAATGTATAATATTAATGTAATTACCATTAAGACATGCTGTTTTCTAAATAAATATATATATATATAATATATATAAAGATAGATAGATAGATAGATAGATAGATAGATAGATAGATAGATAGATAGATAGATAGATAGATAGATAGATAGATAGATAGATAGATAGATAGATAGATAGATAGATAGATAGATAGATAGATAGATAGATAGATAGATAGATAGATAGATAGATAGATAGATAGATAGATAGATAGATAGATAGATAGATAGATAGATAGATAGATAGATAGATAGATAGATAGATAGATAGATAGATAGATAGATAGATAGATAGATAGATAGATAGATAGATAGATAGATAGATAGATAGATAGATAGATAGATAGATAGATAGATAGATAGATAGATAGATAGATAGATAGATAGATAGATAGATAGATAGATAGATAGATAGATAGATAGATAGATAGATAGATAGATAGATAGATAGATAGATAGATAGATAGATAGATAGATAGATAGATAGATAGATAGATAGATAGATAGATAGATAGATAGATAGATAGATAGATAGATAGATAGATAGATAGATAGATAGATAGATAGATAGATAGATAGATAGATAGATAGATAGATAGATAGATAGATAGATAGATAGATAGATAGATAGATAGATAGATAGATAGATAGATAGATAGATAGATAGATAGATAGATAGATAGATAGATAGATAGATAGATAGATAGATAGATAGATAGATAGATAGATAGATAGATAGATAGATAGATAGATAGATAGATAGATAGATAGATAGATAGATAGATAGATAGATAGATAGATAGATAGATAGATAGATAGATAGATAGATAGATAGATAGATAGATAGATAGATAGATAGATAGATAGATAGATAGATAGATAGATAGATAGATAGATAGATAGATAGATAGATAGATAGATAGATAGATAGATAGATAGATAGATAGATAGATAGATAGATAGATAGATAGATAGATAGATAGATAGATAGATAGATAGATAGATAGATAGATAGATAGATAGATAGATAGATAGATAGATAGATAGATAGATAGATAGATAGATAGATAGATAGATAGATAGATAGATAGATAGATAGATAGATAGATAGATAGATAGATAGATAGATAGATAGATAGATAGATAGATAGATAGATAGATAGATAGATAGATAGATAGATAGATAGATAGATAGATAGATAGATAGATAGATAGATAGATAGATAGATAGATAGATAGATAGATAGATAGATAGATAGATAGATAGATAGATAGATAGATAGATAGATAGATAGATAGATAGATAGATAGATAGATAGATAGATAGATAGATAGATAGATAGATAGATAGATAGATAGATAGATAGATAGATAGATAGATAGATAGATAGATAGATAGATAGATAGATAGATAGATAGATAGATAGATAGATAGATAGATAGATAGATAGATAGATAGATAGATAGATAGATAGATAGATAGATAGATAGATAGATAGATAGATAGATAGATAGATAGATAGATAGATAGATAGATAGATAGATAGATAGATAGATAGATAGATAGATAGATAGATAGATAGATAGATAGATAGATAGATAGATAGATAGATAGATAGATAGATAGATAGATAGATAGATAGATAGATAGATAGATAGATAGATAGATAGATAGATAGATAGATAGATAGATAGATAGATAGATAGATAGATAGATAGATAGATAGATAGATAGATAGATAGATAGATAGATAGATAGATAGATAGATAGATAGATAGATAGATAGATAGATAGATAGATAGATAGATAGATAGATAGATAGATAGATAGATAGATAGATAGATAGATAGATAGATAGATAGATAGATAGATAGATAGATAGATAGATAGATAGATAGATAGATAGATAGATAGATAGATAGATAGATAGATAGATAGATAGATAGATAGATAGATAGATAGATAGATAGATAGATAGATAGATAGATAGATAGATAGATAGATAGATAGATAGATAGATAGATAGATAGATAGATAGATAGATAGATAGATAGATAGATAGATAGATAGATAGATAGATAGATAGATAGATAGATAGATAGATAGATAGATAGATAGATAGATAGATAGATAGATAGATAGATAGATAGATAGATAGATAGATAGATAGATAGATAGATAGATAGATAGATAGATAGATAGATAGATAGATAGATAGATAGATAGATAGATAGATAGATAGATAGATAGATAGATAGATAGATAGATAGATAGATAGATAGATAGATAGATAGATAGATAGATAGATAGATAGATAGATAGATAGATAGATAGATAGATAGATAGATAGATAGATAGATAGATAGATAGATAGATAGATAGATAGATAGATAGATAGATAGATAGATAGATAGATAGATAGATAGATAGATAGATAGATAGATAGATAGATAGATAGATAGATAGATAGATAGATAGATAGATAGATAGATAGATAGATAGATAGATAGATAGATAGATAGATAGATAGATAGATAGATAGATAGATAGATAGATAGATAGATAGATAGATAGATAGATAGATAGATAGATAGATAGATAGATAGATAGATAGATAGATAGATAGATAGATAGATAGATAGATAGATAGATAGATAGATAGATAGATAGATAGATAGATAGATAGATAGATAGATAGATAGATAGATAGATAGATAGATAGATAGATAGATAGATAGATAGATAGATAGATAGATAGATAGATAGATAGATAGATAGATAGATAGATAGATAGATAGATAGATAGATAGATAGATAGATAGATAGATAGATAGATAGATAGATAGATAGATAGATAGATAGATAGATAGATAGATAGATAGATAGATAGATAGATAGATAGATAGATAGATAGATAGATAGATAGATAGATAGATAGATAGATAGATAGATAGATAGATAGATAGATAGATAGATAGATAGATAGATAGATAGATAGATAGATAGATAGATAGATAGATAGATAGATAGATAGATAGATAGATAGATAGATAGATAGATAGATAGATAGATAGATAGATAGATAGATAGATAGATAGATAGATAGATAGATAGATAGATAGATAGATAGATAGATAGATAGATAGATAGATAGATAGATAGATAGATAGATAGATAGATAGATAGATAGATAGATAGATAGATAGATAGATAGATAGATAGATAGATAGATAGATAGATAGATAGATAGATAGATAGATAGATAGATAGATAGATAGATAGATAGATAGATAGATAGATAGATAGATAGATAGATAGATAGATAGATAGATAGATAGATAGATAGATAGATAGATAGATAGATAGATAGATAGATAGATAGATAGATAGATAGATAGATAGATAGATAGATAGATAGATAGATAGATAGATAGATAGATAGATAGATAGATAGATAGATAGATAGATAGATAGATAGATAGATAGATAGATAGATAGATAGATAGATAGATAGATAGATAGATAGATAGATAGATAGATAGATAGATAGATAGATAGATAGATAGATAGATAGATAGATAGATAGATAGATAGATAGATAGATAGATAGATAGATAGATAGATAGATAGATAGATAGATAGATAGATAGATAGATAGATAGATAGATAGATAGATAGATAGATAGATAGATAGATAGATAGATAGATAGATAGATAGATAGATAGATAGATAGATAGATAGATAGATAGATAGATAGATAGATAGATAGATAGATAGATAGATAGATAGATAGATAGATAGATAGATAGATAGATAGATAGATAGATAGATAGATAGATAGATAGATAGATAGATAGATAGATAGATAGATAGATAGATAGATAGATAGATAGATAGATAGATAGATAGATAGATAGATAGATAGATAGATAGATAGATAGATAGATAGATAGATAGATAGATAGATAGATAGATAGATAGATAGATAGATAGATAGATAGATAGATAGATAGATAGATAGATAGATAGATAGATAGATAGATAGATAGATAGATAGATAGATAGATAGATAGATAGATAGATAGATAGATAGATAGATAGATAGATAGATAGATAGATAGATAGATAGATAGATAGATAGATAGATAGATAGATAGATAGATAGATAGATAGATAGATAGATAAATAGATAGATAGATAGATAGATAGATAGATATTATTACTACATATTTCTGTAGTTATTATCATTAATACTACTACTACTACTACTACTACTATTAATAATAATGTTTTATGTTTTGCACATATAATTACGTTTTCAAAATACTATTATACACAATATTGATACATCCAAATATTATATGAATATGTAAAATAGCATTCATTATATGTACAAAGTTCAATTTATACAGTATTCATTATATATTTCTACGGGGGGAAAACATGATATAATATTAAATATTAATGGTATTAATATTAAGAGATGTTGTTTCCAAAACAAAAGAAATTTGTGATTGTGTTAATTGTGAAACATGTTTGGACAAGACATGTCCCTGTTATATAGTTTCATAGTTTCGATGACTTCCTTATTCTAAACTGTGTAAACAGTCATCATAACACAAAGGATGCTTTAGCTGCAGTATTCAGCATGTGTTGATGTTAGCAGCTGTTTTCCAGACTTACTTCCTCCTGTTGCTGAGCGTGTCGTCTGTGTTTCTGACCGCTGCTTTCAGAGGAATGGAGTCTCGTCCGGCGCTGCTGTGCTGACCGCTGCTCACCTGCTCCGGCTGCTGTCTGACGGGGCGACCGCACACCCTGCGCACCTGCACAGATCACACACCATTACCAGCATATCCACACACACACTCGCTATTACACACACCAACAAGATATTTAACAGTGGCTAAAGCTCGGAGCTGTGACACTTGCACTTCTGCAGGTCAAAAGGAGTCGATGTGCCTGTAGTAACATGATCAAGCACTAGGTGATGCTGCTTATTAACTCATGCAGCGACAGCATTCGCAAGACTGTGAAGGTAAGAGGAATAGAGAGCGCTTGTTTACACACAACTACCGGAAAGTGCGTTTTTATAGGAAAGAGGTGGTAAGAGTACATTAATATGTTGTAAAGTGACTGACTCATTCACTGTTTACTGGATATATCGTCTCAGCATCAGATGGCACATCCATGGATTGTTCACAGACTGTCTGGTTTGGAGACAAAAACGGCAGATCTGCCCCATCTGAAGCCAAGTCTGAAACCACCAGGTCCAATCTGACTTTTCTTTTTTCAGTTTTCATCATTTAAAATCTCTTTATATATATTTATACCATGGTCTTGTCTGAATACTGGATTCTGACTGGCTGGAACTAAGGTATGCATTAAAACACTTTAATGCACAGGTAGTTTCAAGTCAGTTTAATCACAGTTCTGTATTAATGCACTGCTTTAATTGATGCACACAAACCCAAACACACACAGAGAGAGAGAGAGAGGGGTCGGAGGTCACAGATTGTGCTGCGCACACAGAAACTTGTCAACACTGCCCCGTGATTTATATATATATATATAGAGAGAGAGAGAGAGAAAGAGAGAGAGGTGTAACCATTTACAAAATTCACGGTCCGGTTCTATACAACACAGTGGTGTCACGGTTCCGTACGTTTTCGATACAGCAAAAAGACCGAAATGCCAGAGAACTTGATTTTTCCAATTCAACATCATAACGTTTTTTTATTTGATTTTATTTTGAACAATGCAGTGTGCCGAACAACCGTCGCTCAGATCAGCGGCTGGAGTCGAGCTGATGAGTGAAGTGAGAAAGACAAGAAGTTGGCGACAGATTTAGTTTCGAAAACGAAAAACATAAGCGCCATGCTTTAAAAATATTTTAGACTTTGGAGGGCCTTTTCACTTTTGCCGTTTATCTAAGATGATTTTGGAAGCTTTTTTAACATTAATTTCTTATTTATTTGTTTGCTGATTTTCAGTGTTTTATAAGTTATTTCTTATTTTATATTAGGCCTATAGCATGGTCTATTTGTATTCGTTTTATTAATAAATTAAACATTCTATGTTCAATATAAGTTTGTCATACTGTTTTGTTGTTAATTCAATCAACTGAATTCGAATCTAATTCGAAAGTGAAAGTAAAATGCGCACAGACATTTACTAGCTATTAAAAAGTAAATAAAAGCGAGGAAAAGAGAGAAAACTAACGAACGACCTCAAAGGAGTAGTACTGGAGTAGTGTGTTTTTCTTTGGGGGTAAGAGGGGGAGACATCACGTTGCCTGTTGCGTTGTTTGGGCTGCCTTGTTGAGCGCAGTTGCACTGAGAACATTATATTTCACACACTTTAAGCTCTTTTATTTTCCAAATATAATAGGATTAGTCCAACGAATCTAATCGTTTGGTACGTAATGCGTAGTTGTGTACCAAACCGAAACCTTCGTACCGAATGGTTCAATACGAATACGTGTATCGTTACACCCCTACATATATATACACAAATATACCAGACACTCTAGACACTTCTTAAATTTTATGAAGATCATCATTCCTCCACAACAATTGGGATAATTTGGACTTAATTTACACAGGTCATACAAACTGTTTTTATTGTTCTTACACTAGCCGTGACCCTCAGCCAGTGACAACACCTTATTAGAGACTTGATTCTGATCCAGATTCTGATCCACTCCAGACCCCCGCAGATCAAGCGTCACTCGATCGCTGACAAATCCATGCGGTTTGAAGGCTTGTTTCTGCACACGCGCACACGCGCACACACACACACACACACACACACACCAACAAGATATTTAACAGTGGCTAAAGCTCGGAGCTGTGACACTTGCACTTCTGCAGGTCAAAAGGAGTCGATGTGCCTGTAGTAACATGATCAAGCACTAGGTGATGCTGCTTATTAACTCATGCAGCGACAGCATTCGCAAGACTGTGAAGGTAAGAGGAATAGAGAGCGCTTGTTTACACACAACTACCGGAAAGTGCGTTTTTATAGGAAAGAGGTGGTAAGAGTACATTAATATGTTGTAAAGTGACTGACTCATTCACTGTTTACTGGATATATCGTCTCAGCATCAGATGGCACATCCATGGATTGTTCACAGACTGTCTGGTTTGGAGACAAAAACGGCAGATCTGCCCCATCTGAAGCCAAGTCTGAAACCACCAGGTCCAATCTGACTTTTCTTTTTTCAGTTTTCATCATTTAAAATCTCTTTATATATATTTATACCATGGTCTTGTCTGAATACTGGATTCTGACTGGCTGGAACTAAGGTATGCATTAAAACACTTTAATGCACAGGTAGTTTCAAGTCAGTTTAATCACAGTTCTGTATTAATGCACTGCTTTAATTGATGCACACAAACCCAAACACACACAGAGAGAGAGAGAGAGGGGTCGGAGGTCACAGATTGTGCTGCGCACACAGAAACTTGTCAACACTGCCCCGTGATTTATATATATATATAGAGAGAGAGAGAGAGAGAAAGAGAGAGAGGTGTAACCATTTACAAAATTCACGGTCCGGTTCTATACAACACAGTGGTGTCACGGTTCCGTACGTTTTCGATACAGCAAAAAGACCGAAATGCCAGAGAACTTGATTTTTCCAATTCAACATCATAACGTTTTTTTATTTGATTTTATTTTGAACAATGCAGTGTGCCGAACAACCGTCGCTCAGATCAGCGGCTGGAGTCGAGCTGATGAGTGAAGTGAGAAAGACAAGAAGTTGGCGACAGATTTAGTTTCGAAAACGAAAAACATAAGCGCCATGCTTTAAAAATATTTTAGACTTTGGAGGGCCTTTTCACTTTTGCCGTTTATCTAAGATGATTTTGGAAGCTTTTTTAACATTAATTTCTTATTTATTTGTTTGCTGATTTTCAGTGTTTTATAAGTTATTTCTTATTTTATATTAGGCCTATAGCATGGTCTATTTGTATTCGTTTTATTAATAAATTAAACATTCTATGTTCAATATAAGTTTGTCATACTGTTTTGTTGTTAATTCAATCAACTGAATTCGAATCTAATTCGAAAGTGAAAGTAAAATGCGCACAGACATTTACTAGCTATTAAAAAGTAAATAAAAGCGAGGAAAAGAGAGAAAACTAACGAACGACCTCAAAGGAGTAGTACTGGAGTAGTGTGTTTTTCTTTGGGGGTAAGAGGGGGAGACATCACGTTGCCTGTTGCGTTGTTTGGGCTGCCTTGTTGAGCGCAGTTGCACTGAGAACATTATATTTCACACACTTTAAGCTCTTTTATTTTCCAAATATAATAGGATTAGTCCAACGAATCTAATCGTTTGGTACGTAATGCGTAGTTGTGTACCAAACCGAAACCTTCGTACCGAATGGTTCAATACGAATACGTGTATCGTTACACCCCTACATATATATACACAAATATACCAGACACTCTAGACACTTCTTAAATTTTATGAAGATCATCATTCCTCCACAACAATTGGGATAATTTGGACTTAATTTACACAGGTCATACAAACTGTTTTTATTGTTCTTACACTAGCCGTGACCCTCAGCCAGTGACAACACCTTATTAGAGACTTGATTCTGATCCAGATTCTGATCCACTCCAGACCCCCAGTGTCACAGTGTCACTCGATCGCTGACAAATCCATGCGGTTTGAAGGCTTGTTTCTGCACACGCGCACACGCGCACACACACACACACACACACACACACACACACACACACACACACACAGACGCTCCGTCTGCAAACCTTCACATTTCAACAGCACCACCACAACACTATCTGAACATGCGTAGAGGATCCCACAGAAGCCCAGTATGACTGCAGGCGTCCAGCACACATGAGCGTGGCCGGCCGTCCCGCTGCAGCTGCCCACACAGAGAGTATTTTGGGAATGTTCTGGGCTCTCTGGCTGGAGTATGGCATGTGTGACTGCGAGCAACTTACTGTTCGGGCCGTACCGCATTCCACACCATCCAAACAGTAGTTACACCACGGCTTTAAGACCGAATTCTCAAGGCATTAAAATGGCAAAAATGCAAAGGCCAGTGTTTGGGTTTGAAATAAAAATGTTCACCTATTTGAGAATGTAAAGTTTTTCGACGTGACAAAAGTAAACAAACGTTTAGCCTTCAGGATTTAATAAAATAGGACTAAAATACATTTTAAATCTCACATATCAAATGCTGCCATCAAGTCATGTCAGAATATTATACACTTTGTGAAAAACAGAAATTAGTATGTAATTGGCCTATGCATTGTTTTATTCCAGCCAAAATTGATTACAACATAAACAGGATTTTTTTTCTGGAGATCTTAATATATGATATAACCCCACTGAAAAATAATTAATAATTGTATGCATTTTATGTGTAGATTGTAGTAATTACTCTCGTCCCAGAAACTTTTAACTTATATATAAAAAAAAAAAAAAACCTTCATTAAATATATTGAGCGCCACACATTAAAACTATAATTTGAACATAAACACAATAATGATAATAATGATAATAGGCTTTGTGATGTTTATTGTGTGAAAATGATATATAAATATAATTATATTAGTTTATAAATAAAATAGTTTATTATTATTATTATTATTATTATTACTATTATTAT